TTTCATTGCTCAGTTATGTTAAGTGAGGGGTTTTTTTTGGCCTTGTTTTATGCCCTTTCTTGCCACAGTCGTTAAGGGAATCCCTGCAGCTAGTAACACAACTGTAAAGTGAATCCGGCTTTCTCATTGATTTTGCTTGCCAGAAGATTGCAAAAGGTGATCACATGATCCCAGGGAAGTTGCAACCATTGTAAATATGAGCCAGTTGCCAAGTGTCTGAATTATGTTGTAAGTGTGAAAAATGGTCACGGGTCACTTTTTTTCAAGGCCGTTGTAACCTCGAATGGTCAGTAAATGAATGATTGTAAGTTGAGGCCTACCTGTAACCTCTTTATGTACCGGTATCTTGTGTAAAGACATCCTTTCAAAGCCTGTAAGAGCTTGGAATATTCCTGAAGTCTCCAAACTACAACTACTCAATAGCTCCAATAGTGTGGTTACTAATGGTGTGTGTGTGTGTGTGTGTGTGTGTGTGTGTGTGTGTGCTGTGATTTGGAGTTTTGCAACAGTTGAGCAGTCATAAAACTCCCACTCCTGCTTCTCCGTGATGTGTGTTTTGTTCTGCTCATTTCATGTCTGCAGCTTCTGAAAGTGGCAAAAATTTAGCATGGAAATATTATGAAGATGGGAAAAGAGAACAAGTCACACCTGTTATGTGTGGCCATCCTTTAAAATATGTCTAGTGCACTCCCTTTCACAAATCACAGGATCCTGGAGTGGAAAGGGATGGTGAGGTCATCCAATCCAACCCCTCTGTCCATTGCAGGAGTCCAAAGTAAAGCAGCCATGGCAAATGGCTGTCTGTGCTTGAACATATGAATGGAAGGATCTTTTATATCTCTGTAGGGTAACTGATTCTAGCTCTTAACTACATTATTAGTAGCGTCTTTTAATATTTAATTGTTATCTGCCTTTCTCTATCTTAAATCTATCCCATACATTCTGCTATGAGTCAGAATAAGTCTGCCTTCTATGATGTGATTTGTGATTTGTGAAGAATGCTGTGATTTAGTTGTCATTTTCCAAGGGTCTCTTCACAGGATTTAGCTTTTAGATCCCCTGATCATCTTTATTGCCCTTTTATTGAGCCTTTTGCAACTTTTCCTTCTTAAAGTGTGGTATCCAACACCTAGTCATGCTCCCAGGTCCTTAACATTGCCTGAAGCACATAAGGTATCAAGATTATCTAGTGGACTCCCTTTCCATAAATACCTAGGGCACTGAGGTTCATGCCTGAGCAGAGGATTTTTTGAGGAATCCTTGGTGCTCTCTGAGCTTGGTTGTTGCAGATGTTTCATTACCCAAACTAGCTAACATCATCAGTGCTACCCATAGTAAGGAGTGGGCTTTGACTCCTAGTGGCTTGCACTGCAAGTGGGAGTGGGAGGGTGTTAAGAGGTTCTTTGGTTAAGCTGTTTACTGTTGGCTTGTTTGACTGAGGATTTTTTAAAAACTTTTATTTTCCCAGTTTGCTAACAATCTGGTTTTTAATTTCTGGATGTTAATGAAATGGGTTTAAATACTGCAGGATAATTTTAAAGTTTGTAGGTAGCACTGAACTCTGGGAAAGGTGGCGTATTACTAAACTGAATTTGGGGATATCTAAGGATGGATTTGTACAGGTGTCCAATTTTCAAGACAAAAGTAAAAGTATATTGTGTGATCTGCTTGCTTTTGGAGTATGGTAATATAGTTGTTTGCTCATTGGTTTCTTTAAAGAAGGAACACGACTCCAAACTGTATGGCTACAGCAAGAAAAACTGGAGTAAAAAATTAAAAGAATCCGCACAGACTGTTATTTAAACTGTGTTGAATCACATTAAAAACCGGATGATTCAGAGACCCAAAATAAACTTGGCACAATCTTGAATATTGGGATTCAGGAACTGCTTGCTAATAATAAAACAACAACACAAACACAACGAAAACCCCTCTGGGGCATGTCTAAAGCAGGAATTTTAACAATAAACTCCCCGAAGTTCATTATTTCAAAGAACTCTGGGAATTACAGCCTCATGAAAAGAAAAAGTGCTTGTAAAAAAATAATAATCTTCAATCTCTTCTCAAAATTACATCTGAAATGGCTTGTTAGAACAGTTTATTAAATAGAGTTTATTCAGCCTCTAAGTCTCGCCACAGATTTTGTACCTTGGAAGACTGATGAATTATTCTCTGTGTTCATCCCACCCATAATTTTTGGGATGGGTATGTCTGATTGATGGATTCAATCATAATGCCCAAATGCCATTGGCATTCCTCAAAAAGGGAAGCAAAAAAATCTAGTTTAACATTTTGTTGTTAAAAAGTTATTTTGTTCCATAGGAGGAAGAAGAGTTTTAAAATGGCATATTATTTGCTAAAGACAAACATGATGAACGCACACAACTTTTTTTTTTTTTAAATGGGCTTCAACACTCCTAACTCAACCTTAATTTTGCTCAGCTGATCAGCGAATCAAGCACCCCCTTTTTCTTAATTCTTGCCACTTTTAATCCAGAAACTGAACATAATAGAAACCACATAGAGAGATTAGAGTGTCTTCTATCTACTCCAATACTTTGCTTCTTTAGCATGTCTGCACACGATAGTATCTGATAGACTCAAGGTAGACTGCCACTGGGCATGGAATCACCCATTTGAGCTATCCATGCAAACTGGCAAATGGAGACACCTAACCTGTGGGCATCATTACATCTCCAAAGCAGGAAGCCATTGTGAGCTATAGATTTTATTATTATGAGACAGAATCGCCTCTTTTTAAGGGAGGAGGAGGAGGTTGTAAGACATTAGACTGCATGAAGCCTACATGAAAAACGTGTAATTTATGGGGCTTTTAGCCGCTGTTCTTGTAAGGGTACGAAGTAAGGACAACATAAATTGCAGGTCACTAGTCTTAAAGGATCTGCTTCAAGTTCGCACAAGGGTTCTTATACCTAAGAAGCAGAGGCGGGCGCTGTCTTTCTCAAATATCATTGGCTGACTTCGGAATGTGCCCCTCCAATTTATCCAATCAAGTCAATTGTCGGGGTCCGAGCATATCCCGAACCCTGAACCAACCACCCTAAGCAAGTCGGAACAAGCCTCGGGGCCTCGTTGGCTGAGTTGGGCTTCGGTGCTTTATTCGCAGGAGGCGGCGAACCATAAACTAGCCAACCCGTCTTTGTTCTGCGTCTCGTCCTTTTGTTTTTTTCTCTCCTGTTTTTTCCTTCGAAACCTTTTTTATTTTTTCTTTCTCATTTTTTTCACCTTTTGCCTCCTCTTTCTCGCATTCTGTAGAACCCTGTTCGTTTCCATTCTTTCGAAATCACCTAGCAAATTGCGAATAACTTAAGAGGATGTAGTTTCGTGTGTGTGTAGTATATACAGCATATATATATATATATATATATATACACGTATTTGTTTTCCTAAGTTTCCATATATATATACATACACACACACACAAACCAAAAAGGTGGAGATTTTAAAATCTATATTTTCAAAAGCTTAGGGGGAGAAAACCCAAAAGAACTGCCTGTATTTGACATATAAAGCAACAAAAAATGTAATGTTTTTTATGTAATGATTTTTTATTGATTTATTTATGACCAATTTTATTTCATCTCAGATGAGACATTTTCTGCACCTTTAAGTTTTCTTCCAGGCAACAGACATGAATATGACTGACTTGAATTGATTTCTCCTTTTAAAACAAAAACAAAGTGCATTGAATTAAACTGGTCTTGGCAGGGCTGTTTTTGTTCACAAAACTGAAAATGTGTCTTCGTATAAATTAATAAGAGGCTAAAATGCTAATACATTATTAGCTTTTTTTAAAAAAGAAATAAAGCAATGTACATGTTCATTTAAAAACAAAGCAAAACCCCGACATTCCACATTTCAAATTCTATGGAACAGCCCCGAATTCGGGATTTCAAAACCAACCCTAAAGTTTACTTGCAATTATTATTATTATTTGCAAAAGGGACGATTTTTCTCGAAGGCTCAGTTTCCTCTTTCCTCGCTTTACTTCTGTTTTCCAAAGCAAAATACAAGTTAGAATTAAGCATTCTCCCCCCCCCCTCAAAAAAAACCGTGTGCGTGTGTGTAAAAGGGGGGGTTGTCATTTGGCAGGACTCATTTAGAGAGAAAATTAAAAGGAGCTTTAAACTACAATGTCTAGGTTACATCTATAAATAGCTGTTTCGAAGGAGCTTGACTGCCCTTTGACGAAAAGATCGGGGCTCATTTATTCCAATTCGAAATGGCAACCCAAGGCCTTTTAAATGTCCAGGTTACACAGACTGCTTCTTCAGGAAAGTCCCTGCGTTGTCCTAAAAGCTTGCCCATTGTCCCGATAGAAAAACAATAGTAATAATAAAAAGGAGAGATTCTGCTGAAGGAAACCAATGACATTTAACACACACCCCCTCGTGATTTCCCTTAACACCCACACACCCCTCCAGTGCAGAGCATTCGTGTCCCGTGTGGGAAGATGGGAGTTAAGCTAGCGAAGAAAAACTCATGGGGGGCGACTAAGAGAGAGAAAAACCGCCGCCTTTTAAAAGTCGCAAAACTCCCCGAAGAAAGGTGTTTTGAGGAGCGGCGGCTGAGGAAAAACAAGCCGACTCAACGGCGCGAGTCTGGCGAGCGCCGACGTTCCGGCTTGGGAATTAGCCCGAGTTAAACATTATTAGGTTTAAATATTCGCTGTGTGAATAAAGTCCGGTGGCTTTTATTTACAAATAAAGAGGCGCCTCGGCTGCACTCGGGCTAGTAGCGGGTCCCTTTTGGCGGGAAAGGCCGGGCGGCGCTAGGCCTCGGGCCTGTCCGTCGAGGCAACCCCGCCTCAACTTTCCCCAAGAAACCCACCCGGGCAGGGGCGGCTCTGAGGGGCCGCCCGGCGCCCAGTCTCCTCGTCTTTATTTCTGGTCGGAAAAAGCAACTGGGTCTGTGGAGCGCCGCCTCAGCGGGGCTTAGCTCGTCCTTGGGCGGCCGCGCGGCGTTTTTCCCCGCGCCGCCTAGGAGGAGGCCTCGTTCTCTGAGGCGTGGAGCAGGAGGCCGGCGCTGGGCCCACCCGTCTTGTGCTTCTTGAGCAGCTGCGTGATCTTCTCGTCGTCCGAGTTGGGGTCCAGGGGCCGGTTGTAGTCGTCGTCCTCGTCCTCGTTCTCCGAGGCGCCTTTCAGCCGCTCCGTCTCCGAGTCCTGCTTCTTCTTGGCGGTCGCCATTTCGGCCGCGTGCTTCTTCCGCCACTTGGTCCGCCGGTTCTGGAACCAGACCTGGGAGGAGGAGAAAGGGAGGAAGGGCGGTGAAAAGGACAGCCGAGCCGGCGGTGGGCCTGCTGTCTGAGCCCGTTTTCGCTCGAGAGTTTCTGCCCGCCCGGATCCAGCCTATCCCGTTCAGAGGATTGAATCCGGATCGGCCGCTTCCTCCTCCTCCTCCTCCTCTCCGATTTTTAAGGCCAGAAACCCACCAGGAAAGATGGGTTTCAAAGTTTTAGGAGGATTCGCACTCGGTGCTAAACGAGAGGAGCAGGGGGGCATTTTCAACATCCTTCCAGAAGAAGCAGGGTTCACCCCCCCCCCCCAAAAAAAACCCCTGGTAACTTAGATGAGCAGACTTTAACTCCGAGAAGCCCCAAGCCAGCATTTGGGGTGGGGGGGGGGGAAATTTGGGGAGTTGAAGTTCAGGTATCTTAAAAGCTGACTAGTTTGGAAAACTTTTATTCCAGATCACAATCTGGTTGGTTTTATCTTGATGTAAAACCCCAGGCACCAATATTATACAATTATTTCTGGGTGGACTTTAACTCCCAGAAGCCTCCATCCAGCATTTGGGGTGGGGAGTGGGATTCTGGAAATTGAAGTCCACACATCTTAAAACTTGCCAAGTTTGAAAACTCTTATTCCAGACCACAATCTGGTTGGTTTTTCCTTGATGTAAAAACTCAGCCGCGGATAATAACAATTATTTCTGGTTGAATACGATAGGAGAGCCAGTTTGGTATAATGATTCAAGGCACCAGACTAGAAACTGGGAGACCATGAGTTCTAGTTCTGCCTTAGGCACAAAAGAAGCTGAGTGATCTTGGGCCAGTCTCTCTCTCTCTCTCTCTCTCCCCCCCCCCCCCCCCCAGGAAGAAGACAATGGCAAACCTTGCCAAAGAAACTGGGGACTTCTGGCAGTTGCCAAGAATCAAGAATAGCTCTACAAAGAGGAGGGGGGGTTGGAGGGATGGGAGAACACTGGAAAATTGCAGAGCTATAGGCTGGATAGTAAAAGAGAGGAAAAAAAACCTGAAGTAAAATCTCTATTTAGTTTTTTTTCCAGAAAACATGGGTATTTCTTTGAAATTACCAGAGTCAAGCCCATTCTCTAAAGGAATTACATATGCCTACACTTGGTTTTTAAAAAGGCTAGCTAGTATATAAAATTGATGTGCACACTTTTCAAAGAAAAAGCCCTGATTTTAGAAATTATTATCATAGCATCATGAATTAGTGTAAATGCATTGAAGTAGGGGCGTCTTCATATCCTCCAAGAAGGCACCAGGTCTCAAATCATACATTTGCTGGAGTACATTTGCATCTCTTAACATACCCCAATTTTTTCTGGAATCACATAGCTTATCGCAAGAATGGGATAACTGTGTTTTTCCAACTTTGCAACTTTAAGACGTATGGACTTCACCTCCCAGAATTCCCCAGCCACTTGTCAAGTTTGAAAAACATAGCTGTAATTGCTTTGCAAGCAAGTATGTACTACATACTCCTCCAATTTGGACTGAGGGGAGTCTGAAATTAGAATCTCTCCATAAACACATCCTGGAAAATGTCTTCTGTTTTGGGTACACATACTGACTGCATAGGACACATTAATGACAAAGTGTGGGCCAATTCAAGGGGCTGGCGTGCGTGGCATAGCACCAAGTTATCTTTGGGACTGCCTCCTGTGGACATCTACCTATCCACAGGGAAGTAAACATAAGTTAACTCTACTTCGTTATAGGGCTCTATTAAGAGAATCTTGCAAGTCTGAAAGTACAAATCTCCCACCATGTCTTTACTTCCTTAGGTTGGATTCTTTCTGAGTTTCCCCCTATGGGCTCCCCCTTCCTGCCTTTTTTCAGTATCTCTTCCCCTTGTTTGCCAAGGTCATTCCCACATATTATTACAGGTCCAAATCATGTCTCCTCTCTGAAATGCTGTTATCTGTGGGGATCTAAGGAACTGAGGCCTTTCCATAGCTGTGCCTGCTTTGTGGAGCATCGCTCCCCTGAGATTCAGGGCGTCACTAGCCATCTCATCTTCCAAGGAGTTCTGAAGATCTGACCTGTCTCTCAGGTATTAGTTCAGGTGGGCAAGAGAGCCCAGCAGTTTTGGTTTTATGGTGGTATTGTTATGGGGAGGTTTTTAAATTGGGATATTTTGCTGTTTGTTTTTATGCTGCTAGCCATTCAAGACTTAACTTTATAAAACGTGGGCAGCCATACAAATCTTTTTTTAAAAAAATAAATAAAATTGGCTTGCACTCAGTCAGCCTGTCTTCTTCCTTTGTGCTAATTTTGAAGTTCTCATAGTTGAATCATTGTGTTTTTTTTCTATTACTGTAATGGGAAAAAAATCTACTTTTAAATTATGTTGTCCATTTCACAATCCCAGCTTTCCTGCCCATAATAGATATAAGGTTCTCAAATTTAGCTACAGAAAGTAAATTAAATTTAATGGCGGTAGTTGGGTTTGATATACAGTATAAACTAGTTTTAGAACTAGATTCTAAAGCTGGTTATTTCAGAGTTAATGTCATTGAGATTGACAGAATTTGCTCCAAGCTGTAGGACTGGCGCTCAAAAAGGTTTGCTGTCCAAAAATGCAATTTACTGAAAAATTGTCATGGGTGTGATCAGTGGTGCCTGTAAAAAAAGTTAGCATGATGACTTCGATGGTTACAACTGAAGGTCATAAAAATAGACTGAGCTGTGATCATATTATTGTGGCCACCATTTAGAGGGTTTTTTTTAAACTATACCCAACAGACAATTCTTAGTGTGATAGTACATTTTTTATAATTTTCATGGAAATCCTTATAAATATAGGACAAAAAATGTTATTCACCCCAACTGGCTTTATGATCCAGATCAACTTAATTGAAAAATGGACAGTCTAATCCCATCTCATTTCAAGTAGACTGGAAATAATTCTGTAGTTAGCAGTGTGGTTGAATCCAGACTTAGCCAGGCTTAAAGTAAACCTATCAGAACCAATAATAAACCATTTCTTCCTAACAGTAAACAATTTCTACCTAAAATATCAATGATTCAATAAGTCTGCTTATAAATATGCTTAACTCTAGTTCATTATGAGTGGATGTGGTTTAACTGTTGTGTAGATCCTCAGTTTAAGAAATTACAGATTCAGTTTTAAGATCTGTTTGGCACCATTATTTTAGAATTGTTTTGGAACCATGGTTTTTTACACACACAAAAGAGAATGTCTTTTCTAAGATAGTGCAACATCCTTTTTTCATTACACGCACATTTATAACAGGCTCATGATAGGTTTTTCTCCTAGTACTGCTGAAAACCTAAACATAATCATGTTAAGCATCCACCTATGCAAAAACAAGTGGAAAAGTACAAAAGAAAAATTTGCATTAGTTTTCATTTTTCACTGTGTCTTGCACAATATGGCTTATTATACTTTTGCCTTCATTTCTGCACTAAATTCCACTCTGCATTACTGTACTGCAGTAACTAGTGTTAGTTCATATCGCAATATAGATACTACTGTATATCACTGGCATCCCCAGAGCAGTTATCCTGCATTTGACACTGCAATTGTAAATGTGTTTCTCCAATCCAGCAAAAGTTTATTTCATGTATTGGCAAACACATTCCTGCATCTTTTTTCTCTCTCAATGTTATATGAATGCCAATTTATGTCCTGGAACCAAGTGTCATTCCACATGCATTCAGTGGCATCTATATGATGATATCACATAACTGCCACCATTTTGATAACATTAAGGTTTACTGGCTGTATGGTGCCATTTTGATAGTCTACTGATATGCTCACCTCCAATGTAATATACATTCTGATGACTTTTTCACTTTCTCTTGGGCCAATAAAAAATAAAGTCAAGCCCAGATTATGTGTTTCTTGACAATCTTACGAAAGGTTTTTTCCCCACCAACTTCCAGTGTAGTTTATAAGCTGTGAGAACTTCTTGGTGGTCTTCCATTCAAATATCATCTAGAAATAATTTGCTTAGTATTCTGAGATCAGTCAAGTTGATTAGACACTTGATTGTTTATATACAATCAAGTTGGTGCCAACTCTTAGCAACTAGACAGATAAATTATCTCCAGGATGATCTGTCCCAAGGACAGGTCTTCAGGTCTCCCAGGGTTGCACTATCAACCTGGAATTAATCTATCCATTGATTAGATACTACTAAGCTCCAAAATCTCAGAATTAAAACAATGCTACTTCTAAAAGAATGTGATTGAACACTATGGTTTCCACTCTTTGCCAACAGGTTGCTGTTAAATCAATCCATCATGTAGGATTATTTATATTCACCAAAATTATTTTCACACCCCCTATTTAATTGACTATTCTCATTGCTACAGTTCAAAGCAGTGAATGTAGTAAGCTCATTGTGCTCAAAAGTGCCTACTCCCAAGTAATTGGGTATATATAGTGCAATTAACCAGTCATATTTGTCAGCCAGATTTCAATCATGCAAGTCTATCAACTATCAAAATGCAAATGAGCCATTAATAGGAGTGTGGCAGTAGAAGCTACTGTACTCTCACCACAAAGATTCACTTAAAACTAGCTGCATATAATTGCTCTTCATATTACCAACCCCTCTCAACCAACCACTATTATCGTCTCAGGGAGCATCCTGATACCATCACAAAGGTTTGGTGTAAGATTCCCGTACTTAATTCACTCAGCACTCAAGAAAGCACATTTAGACATTGTGCCTGGAATCAGTTATAGTTGTCTCTTCAAATCATCCTGCTTTTGACCCACCCTTCCCCCATCATCACCAAGTAGGCATACCTGTAGGACAGTAGCAAGGACAGCCTCCTCTGTGCCATCCTAAACAGAATCATTCCCTTCTGTGTTCAATGAGGTGGATGCCCAAGTAAAGGGTGACTTACAGGGCTAAATTATCTCCCACCCAACACGCAGGGTCTGGTTGTGAACCTAAGCATGTTTGCTGAAGAACTCCTTATCAAGTTGAAAGGATCTGCGTATTAGCAAAAGCACACAGAATAAAACTGAAACACATTTGCTTATATTCATTCCCTTGACTTGCTACTTCCATTTCCCCAAATATCCCTTCCACCAAAACTTCAGGCAGTTGAGTCCACCTGTTATTGTCCATGCTGCCAAACAGCTCTTCCCTGCATGGGTGCCTTTCAAATGGGTTCATTACAATGCCCATCGTCCACAGATAATAGGAGAAGGGCATGCCGGCCCAGCTAAGAGAACATTTGGTTGGGTACACACTGTTGTAAAGATTGAGCCTTGCCTGCATGGAACCCAGCATTAAGCGCAGGCAGAAAAAAATGCCTTTCACCAATTCAGTACTTTTCCCACCTTTGTATCTGGACTTGGCTTCCTGGCATTTTATCCTCTTAACAGGATTGTGTGAGTCCGTTTTTTATAACCTTGTAGAGACTTGCTAAAGCCTGCAGTCCTTCGCCAGAAGGGAGACAAAACTGTTTGCTTTGGGTTTCTACAGGCAAGGACCCATCCAAAGCACGACCCAAGAGATGAGGAGTGAAGAAGGGGTAAAACTCACCAGTTAAAAGACTTGAGAATTATTTCAGTGCTTTGGGTTTCATCATACATTTCAACTTAAGGGTGTTACTGACATCAAATGGGAGGAAAAAATAAAATTACATTTTCTTTGCAGCGAAAAGCCAAGTATGGGAGAGGGCATGCTTCAAAATCAAAAAGCCCCAGGAAGCTGAGTGAATCTCGCCCTTCTGCACAGACACACACACACACAAAAAGTCTTGCATTATCACTCCCAATATAGTTATGGAAATTAAAGCAGCCCCACGGTGTGGAGAATGGCAACAACAGCAGCTCAAGCGGACTCGATTTAACTTTTTGCACACACTGCTGAATTGGTTCGCCTTTAAGATTCCTTCCTTTTCTGCCTGCTACAACCTGTTATTTCTTCCTTTCTCCCCTTCCTGCTCTCTCCCAGGCTTCTGATTTGAGGTTAAACACCCCCCCCCCTGTTTTTTTTTCCCCTCCTACTTTCCTTCCCTGGTCTTTAGATGCCTCTTCTTTCATTTATTCTTGCTTCCTCACCTCTGAATCCATTGAAAGTGGGAGCCTAACGTTGGTTAAGTCAAAAGTGCCAGATGGCCAGAGGAGAAACTAGACAAGCAGAACGGGATGGAAGCAAACAAGTTGCTACTCTCCTTTTTTTTTTCTTTTTTCCATCTCACCCTTATGCCTTCGAAATTAGATGAACACATTTGCACACTATAAAGTCAACAGGGTTGCGTTCATACTCTGTGCTAAACCATAGGTGCTTTGTTGCAATTTTGCTTATTTCCTGCTTTGAGCCCCTACCGTTTTATTCGAGATTCAAGTAATGGTTCAACAGCGATGCAGGGAGATAGCCCTTGTTTTTTCATTTTATGACAAACTGCTTCCAAGTAAACGTAACTGAGCCTGAGTGCAACTTTGAGGCTGCTTGAAGCTAGAAGCAATGCTTCTTTACTCAGGAGAAAACCCAGTGGGAGGAAAATCTATTTACTCTCAGGAAGAAACGCACGAAACTGGAGACTTAACATGGGGCAGAAAACTATAACGAGGCTTTGTTCCAAATCGATATATATTGTGTTTTTGCATTTTATTTTATATTTTGGGATTTAATTTGTTATTTCTTCATATATTATTATAGGCCACTCAATGTATTCTTATGCCGTAGAACAAAGATAAATACAGAAAACAGTATTTATTGTTGAAAGACAAAAACTTCCTACGGACAATGAATTTTTTATTCCTGAAGATTATTAAGAGAGAAAAAAGAAGATAACCAAATCAGGGCTGACTGCACTTAATTTGTGATGAAATCAAGGCAGCGAAAATGAGCTCAGCACCAAACTTTTTCTGAGCTGGTGTTGGAAGACAGAAGGTGTTGAACAAGTGACAAGACAGCCCTAAAGTTTCCTGCTCTGTGGTAAACCTCCTTCACTTGCAACGGGACTTACTCAAGAGTTAAACACAGCCTCTTCTAACAAAAAGCGTAGCATTTTCCGCTTGGTGGACTTAAGAAACAAAGCACATATGAATCCTTCATTTCCCATTCTGGACCAGACTGTTTTGTTCAAACGCAAATTAACATCTGATTCACAATGCACCCTTTTTTTAAAAAAAAATCCCCCCACCTCCTCAAACACACTGCGCTAAATGGGGAGGCATGTTGCTATCAGTGGAAAAGGCAGCCGTTTATTCAAAGCCTTTCCCACATATTTGCAGTGACAAATGAGGGTCTCTGGATAACTTTTGGAATAAAGTGACAATTTGTAAAAAAAAGAAAAGGGGGGGGGTCCCTTCCCTCCCACCTAATCCATTTGAATAACCAGAAAGAAACAGCCTGTGAAAAGATTCATTGGTTTCAAGGAAGGAAGGAAGGAAGGAAGGAAGGAAGGAAGGAAGGAAGGAAGGAAGGAAGGAAGGAAGGAAGGAAGGAAAGAAGGAAAGGAAGGAAGGAAGGAAAGGAAGGAGAGAGGAAGAAAGAAAGAAAAGAAAGAAAGAAAGATCTGCTATTCTTATAACATTCCTAGTTGCTCCATCAGACAAGATTTCATTTTCTGCTGAAATCAATTCAAGGAACTGAGCAACCACCAAATTAGATCGGCCTCTATGCTTCATTTAATTCTTCTCACCCACAGAAAAGGTCCTTCTTGTTCAAACAGTTGCAAAGCTCCCTTGAGTTCCCACGTGCAAAAACGAAAACACCCACAAGCAGAAGTACCTAATCCAAATAGCCCCATTTGCACTTTTACGCTCAGTACAATCCTATATGCATCTACCAGAAAGACTGACTCTCTAACTTACAATCTGAAAAGTGAGTGTATGACCAGAACTGGTTTTTATAAAAACAACACCAGTAGAAACAGATGACAGAGAGTTGGACTTGTTACGTTTTATTTTCTATCCCTGAGATTTGCATCTATTTCCTTACCTAGAAGGTTTTTTTTAAGGATTCCTTCCAAATAAATGAAAAACTGAGTTAATTTGCAGCTTTCCAGTGTAAACCTGTATTGGTCTGCTCAGAAATGATTTCATTGTATCAAACACTTACATTCACATGAATATACAGGAGGGCAGCCATAACAGTCTATTTATAATACAGACCTTTAAAGGAATTATGAAACAGGATGGGAAAAGAGAATGATTAGTTAGGTTATGCTCCTTGCTGGAGTCAGTGTAAAGTTTAGTCTTGGAGATGCCCACCCAGAAATAAAATTTGTAATGAGTTTGATAAGATTTATTTCCACATATGGAAAGTACGACAGGAAATTTCCTTCCAAAAGTGTCTGAATTTGCTATCTAGGCTACACAATTTGTGTGTGTGTGTGTGTGTGTGTATGTGTGTGTATGCCTGCCCATAATTGGAAAACTGGGAAAGTTGGCTTAAATTCTGCTGTTGTGAAATCCCCGCAGTACCAATGAACAATTGAAACAACGAACCTTGAAGTTCACTGAGGTACAGAATATTTTTTTCCCAAAGGCAAGGGAATTAATTTAGTTTCCAAGGGCATCTTAAAAACGATTCTGTTTATCTTGACTTCAGCTTTAGGGAAGTTAGAAGCTTCTTGCTCAGCTATAAGATTTTAAATTTTAATCCACCAACCTTTAGGCTTTACTGAATTCAATACATTTGTCTTCAGGGTGCGTTTCTCAGGAGCTCCAGAGGAGTGTAAGAACGAACAAGTTTACACCAAAGAGTAACAGATGTCTGGGGATTTTTTAAGGCAATGAACAGGTGAGAAGAGTTAGGTCTTGAATGCACTAACACATTGCCAAATATACTACTCCAATGCACAAGTTGGGCCTCGCAGAGTTGGCCTTGACCGGCCCAGGAAATAATCGTTCCCCTTCAATCCCCTTAGATGAGGATTGCTCTCATCCATCTCCCAAACTAAGACTTGAAAGGAGACCACCCAAGCGATGGCTGAGTGTTTGAAGGGATCTGATAGAATGGATACTTTTCATTCCAGATTCAGTACAAGAATCAATTAAAACACAATTCCAAATTTTACTTGGGCTTCCGGGGGCTTGTTCTAGTTCTGAGTCATTGACTTCAGTGGGCCAGTAGAGAAAGAGAAAGAAAACTAATCCAGTCGGGGAACGCTGGGCAGAGGATTTAAATAAACACCAGCGCTAAATCTTCTCAACTTTTTTTTAAAGGCCTAGATCTTAGGATTATCCTAGGTGTGTAGGAGCCTAGGATTTGAGGGTCCACCTCATTCACACCTGCTCCTAATTAGTTTCTGCAAAACAGTTCCTATTTACACACCCAGAGACCCTTTCCGGAGCTGGCTTTTTAGCCTTGTGCTTTTAAAAAGCTGCCCTAAGCTACCTTCCCTCTTTACTTGACAATTGGCCTGAGTTGATCCGCTAGTTAGTAAATTCCTTCAATCTTCGTTTAACCAGTCTTGCAAATCGGCTCACTTCCCCTTCGTTCACCAACACAGATCCGTAAAGCTATTAACCAGCCGCTCCTTCTCACAACGATTGAATCCCGTTGATTCAAACCTAGACAGAAGGAACGGTCAGGCGTGTGTGTGTGTGTGCGCGTGTGTGTGTGTGTGTTCGTGGGGCGGGAACGGGAACTCTTTCAGAGGCGAAAATATTTATTCCTTTCCCCATTAATTTCGAGACCGTTTGGGGAAGTGAGTTAGAAAGAGGAAGAGCTGAATAGCTATAATATGTGCGTGTTTTGTACAAGAAATGACGAACTGGGCTTTAATTTTCTTTATCACGACCCCACCGATTCGGGAAGGAGCGCGGTCTCCTTCGGGTTTTTTGTCCCAGGACTAAAGGGCGCCCACCTCCCCCGTCTGTGAGCGACCTTAAGCCGCCTTGCCCGCCACGAGCGAACGAGCGCCGTCGTTTGAATCGGGACCCTCTCCCTCCCTCCCTCCCTCCGTCCGTCTCTTTTTCTGCCTTGACCGCACAACCGCTCACCTTGACTTGGCTCTCCGTCATTCCCAGTGAATAGGCGAGCCTCGCTCTCTCCGGCCCAGCTAAGTACTTGGTTTGCTCAAAAGTCTTTTCCAAAGCAAAGATCTGCTGGCCGGAAAACGTCGGCCTCGTATGTTTCCTTTTGCCGTCTTTATCCAGTAAAATGGAGCCTTGATCTAAGGGGGGGGGGGGTGAAAAAAAAAGGGGGGGGGGGGAGATGCCACGTAAGAGACACAATAGAAGGTCGGAGATACCGAGAGGTTCGCACACAATCTCCAAAAGGGTAAGAGGGAAAAAAAAATGTATATATTCCGCCCAGCGCTGCGTTTTTGCTCAACGGGAAAAGGGAAATTTCAGCACTCGGAAATTGAAGCAACCGGCGCCGTTTGTGAAAGAGCTGTGGCGGGTTTGGGCCTCCCTCCCTTGCTGGGCCAGAGCGGATTCGACTCGTCTTGTGTCGGGGGCGAAAGAACAACAAAAACCACACACACACACACAAACACACACACACACACACACACCAGAAGTTAATCCGGAGCCCCTTTTCCGGGTAACAATTTGACAAGAATTGTTAGTTCGAAAAAATGCGGGTAGAAATCTCCTGGTTTTTTTTTTCTGCATTCAGGGTTGGAGAAGTTGGAGTGTGTTTTTTTTTTAAATCAATCTACACGGGTAGATTAAGAAGATAAAGTAGTGAACGAAGACAGGGAAGGAAGGAGAAAGGAAAGGAAGGGAAAAGGAATGAGAAAGGAAAGGAAGGAGAAAGGAAGGAGAAAGGAAAGGAAAAATAGTCTATCTATATTAAAGGTCGGGGTTTTCCCTTAGAGAGAAAATGTTACTAAATAAAGAGCCAGACCCATTGCTTAAAAATACTAACATTTGACATCTCAACTGAAACGCGTCTAAATTTCAATTAGCACTTAAAGTTTTTTCGCTTGAGGCAAAGAAAATATTGCAGAGGGGGGGTCTCTTTTCCCCTTCAACTGCTTCTCCCCCCTTCCCCAAAATAAAAGGATTTTAAAAAGGACGCGTGGACAAAAGCGCCAGGGCGGGCCGGCCTTCTTAAGCAAGCCGCCGTAAACCAAGTTCACTCCAGAAGGAGGCCGGCTTCCGAGCGGGTCTCTCCCACGGAAGGGACGGGCTGCCGTCGCCCCCAAGGGGTATAGGTTTTCGGGGGCAGAAAAAAAAAAAAGGAGAGCGACGTACATAAACATCGCGAACACCAGCAGCCAGGGGGGAAAGAGAAAAAAAAGGCCATTTTATTTTTCTCCCAAATATTCGTGGAGAGTTTGGGACTTGAGACTGGCTCTTTGAAGGAGGGAGGAAAGAAGCCGGGCTGAGCATTCAAAGGACCAGGGGAGCTGAGCCGGCTTCCTCCGGGGTAGGGTCGGCCAAGAAGCCGCAAGGATCGAGGGAGCAGCTCCGTTGCTAAGTAAAGCATCAGCTCCAGGCGCCAGGTTCAGGAGGAGGAGATACGGGGGAGTTTTTTATTTTAATTCCCCAGGTCTAGCCGTTGCTGCAACGCCCGGCTTTAAGCGACCTTCGGAAGGCAGCGATTCCTTCAAGCGCCTTTGCTCTCACGTGTGAATGAGTGACTCCCGGGTCCACTTCCAGGAGGGCACCTTTCTTTCGCGAGGTTAAGCCACAACTCCCACCAGCCCCCCCTTGCAAAGTTGGGGCCCACTGAGTGGATTCACAGCAGAGCCTCTTCCCTCCCCACCACTCCACCACTCGCCTAGGATGGCTGGGACTACAACTCCCATTCATCCCCCCCCCCCCCCCCCCCCCCCCCCCCCGCCGCCCGCCTTCAACAATGCAACCCATCCAGAGGGAATGCCAGCCCCACTTTTCAACTTGGAAACAGCAAAGTTAGTCCAGGGCGGAGAGTGCGAAGCCGCCGCCCTCCAGCGGTGGGGCAGGGAACTCCCATTCGTTCCCAGGCCAAGGCATTGTGGGAGTTGTGGTCCAAAGCAGCAGGAGGGCAGCCAGGCCTCTCCTGGGTTTGGGAAAGGGAGGGGATGCAGGGGAGGGGGAAAGAGAGACTCACCACTTCACTACCCAACCCAGGTACTCTTGGCCCACAGCTGGGCAAGAGAGGCAGAGGTGGGGTGGGGTGGGGGCATTGTCCAACGAGAGCAGCAAAGGTGGGATTCCCCCCCCCTTCCCCAAGGGGGAACCGGCGGTCCCCAGAGTTTGCCTTCTTCTTCCCTGCAGAATTGGGCAGCCCAATCAGGGATCCCTGGGGAGACAACCCAACAGCATCGGCCTGGGGGAGAAGCAGCCGCTTATACAGGCCAGAGGAAAAACTAACAGGCAACAACCAACCCTGAGAAGAACCAGTTCAAGTGGCTCAGCAGGGGCCTCCAACCTTGGCCACTTTAAGCCTGGAGGACTTCAACTCCCAGAATTCCCCAGCCAGCTTTGCTGAAGTCCTCCAGGCTTAAAGTGGCCAAGGTTGGAGATCCCTGATTTAGGGAATCTTGGCTTCCCCACTGTCTTTGCTTGTCGGTCACAAAAAGTGATCCCAGGACACCTCGACTGTCCCAAATACATGCTAGTTGCTAAGCTAATTAGCTAGTTGCTAATTTTGATCCTGTGACCCTAGGAAGGCGGCAAGGGTCATAACTTTGCCACCAGTCCTAAGTCACTTTTTGTTTTTCTCAGGGCCTTGTTGTTCCCTTTGGTCACTTAAAAGAAAGGTCGCAAGTCAAAGAGAGATCCGGTTCACTTCAAAGGACTTGCCTTTCTGAGAACTTGGCTTGTGGCATCCTGGGAGTTGGAAGTCCCGCCAGGCTTCAAGTGGCCCGAGGTGGCCAGCCTCCCCCAGCTCAGGAGCCGGCCCTTTGCGGCTCTCTAAGTCCGGAAGGGGCCGCAATTCGACGGCCAAGGCTCGGAGCCCCCCGGGAGGGAAGGAGCTTTTGGAGAGAGGAGTGGGGTGGGAGGCACGCCGGGGATCCCAACCCGAAGGAGGGCGATACTTACGGGGCGAGCAGGCGAGGCGGGCGTCCCTCCAAGGTGGGCTCTGCATGACCCCCGGCCAGAAGATGGGCGTCCTGCCGGGCAACTCAGCCAAAGGCTTGGGGTACCTCCCCACGGCGGCCACGGCGGCTGCAGCGGCGCTGGGACTGAAGTAGAGGCCCGGAGGCGGCGGAGGCGGCGGGCTGAGGCTGCTGAAGCGGGGCAGGCCCGCCAGGAGCCCGGCGGCCGGCGAAGCGGAGGAGGAGGAGGAGGAGGAAGAGGAAGAAGAAGAAGAAGCGGCGGCCAGAAGCGGCATGGACGGCCGGCTCAAGATATCGTTGATGCCGTGCGGGGTGGCGGCCGAGTGCTGCTGCGGGGGCGAGCCCAGCGCCGACAGAGCCCCCGCGCCGTGAGGCTTGAGGCCGGTGGGCGAGCCCAGCGGAGGGGAAGGCGAGGCGGAGGCCGAGGAGGAGGAGGACGACGACGACGAGGAGGAGAGGGAGGAAGAGCTGGCTGCAGAGACGGCGGCGGCGGGGGGCGGCAGCTGGTACGCGGCGGCCGCGGCCGCGGCGGCGGCGGAGTAGAGCGGCGTCTTCATCTCGGCCAGGCTGTGCAGGGCGGCCAGCGGAGGGCTGCTGAGCAGGAAGGCGCTTTGCCCAGGGGTGCCATCCATCGGCCCCACCGCCAGCATCCCCAGGACGGGAAAGCCGGGCAGGGCGCGCTGGAGCCGACGGGGGGTCTCCCTCTTGGGAGAAGCCGCCGAGCCTTCTTTGGAGGGCGGGGGGCGCGAAGGAGGCTCTTCCCCCCCACCAAAAAAAGGGCAGAGGTGGCGGGGGGGAGAGGGGGGGATAGGAAATTGGGCTGGGAGTCAATTGGGGGGAGCGTGTTAGGGGGCAAGATCCCCGGAGCAGAGAGCGAGAGAGCGCGACCGACTAACTGGATTCAGGAGGCCCGCATGAAAAGGGAAAGTGATATATATTTGTGTGTGTGTGTGTGTGTGTGTGTGTGTTTGTGTGTGTGTGTGT